CGCGAGTTGCCGTCCCTGCGCCCATCTTGGTGTGGCACACCCGCTGGATATTGTCGGAAACTATTTTCGAACTGTACGACATTATCGGAAAGCGGTTCGTGCAATGTTAATTAACTGACACTGTTTGTGAATGTGAATATGGCAGGATATGCCCATGCAGTGTTCTGAGGCAATGCTTCAAAGTAATGCGACCTGAGGGGTTGGCGTCAAGGCTTCAGGTACAGCTTTGCCGATCGCGTTGCGATGGTTGCGCAAATAGCGGCCCAGACCATAACGAAATTCGATGGCGCGATCGCAATGAGGACAGCATGCGGCTAAGTCTGAATTGTTGTTGGAAAATATGATGATAAGCAGAATGGCAGAAATATTCTTTTTGAAGGTTTTCAATCAGGCCAACCCGCACTTGTAGTGCGCGTTGACTGCACAAACACGATAGAAAGATTCGTGTGTTGATGTCGTTGGTCCGCGATACTTGAGTCTTGCGAGCTATTATCTCCGCCGTGGCCGCGGCCATTCGGTTGGCCTTGAAAGTGATAACTGGACTTTCTGCGGTAGTGCACATAACCCACCGGTCTTAAGCGAAGCCCTCCCAGATCTTTTTATATTCGTGGATACTCCTAGGAGGTTGTCAGAATGTCCTTGTAATGTCCATTCTGTCCGTATTGTCAGTTAACATCCACGGCTACGTCACCGTAGAATAGCCTTTCCGATAAATGCTAATCTAGTCTCACAATGCGACCTAACCGACGCAATCGTATTTACCTGAGTACGGTGTGGATACTAGGGACGCCACTTCTTTCCAGCACTCCCAGTGTCTTATTATGTTTTCTGCCAGGACCTCAGGCACAGCCGAGGTAAAACCTAACTGATATTTTTGCCTACCTGTCGTCCCCAGTCCACATCTCCGCCGGTACATGAGTTTAGTTAGGACAACAATGGCGGCTCTAGACGAAGTGATATGTTCAGCAGAAGGCATGGCTGAATTCGAGGACCCGACTGACAGCTGGGACTTCGATCTTAAGGCTTCTTTAAAGTTGACTCCCCAGGACTGCGAATTTAATCCAAAATTGACGATGTGTTGATGCATTCTTACTATTTCCTCCAATATTGATTGCCGGCCAGCATTTCTAGCCCCCGAAAATAAAGAGACCAGCACTCCGCCG